TAGGTTGTGGCTTCTTGGTTCCTCTCGGCAGAGTGCTGGCCGAGGAGGTTCGCACCCACGCCGGGAGCGATCCGAGTCGTCATTAAAAACAATTTCTTCTTGGCCTTTCCCGCCTTCTTTCCCTCTTGGCTCCTTCGACCAAGGCGAGACTGGTTTGCTATGCCCTCGACGATTCATTTACATCCCGATATATTGAAACACGGGCCGGCCCGCCTTACTCTATCATATGGGCTTTTCATTAGGCCGGCTTTCATGGGCTACTACAACTATGAGTTCGTATACTTATTAGAGAACTAAGTCCCGCACTTAGCTTAATTACTCATTTGTAATATCCAATACAATGTGGACATGTGTACACATACGGTTGGCAAAGAACTATAAATAGAATCCTGTACCTTCATTACAAGATAATGAAAATCACTATTCATCTTCACTGTTTCCCGCTTCCGTGAGCTCTCTCACTCAATCTTGCATTTCTACATGGTATCAGAGCAAGGTCGTTCCCACAGACCATCAATGGCGACCAAAGCATCGCCGGCGACGTCTGTCAGCCCTTCTCCGATGCAAGATGACTCCACCGATACGATTTTTCTTTACCCTTCCCTGAAATGGAAGAATTTCGTTGTCATAATGGAGAGTGACGTTAAAGGCCAACTGACTTTGCGTTGCAGATTTGGAACAATTATTACGTCCTCTGACCGGACATAGAGCTACGTTCGGCTGCCAATAACATGTCGCCACGTGCTCTTACTCTTTACCGCGCGGCCGATGACTTGACCCGGACCGGAACCCGGGAATGCTATTTTCGCGTATTGCGAGGTATTACTCGGTATTGCTAGGTATTGCTTGACAATAACGAGAAATACCGCTCTGTGAAGACAAATACCGAGTAATACCGATAAATACCGAGTTGTACCGAGTATAGAAAAACTCGATATTTGCTAGAATTGCCGAGTTGTACCGAGTTTTTCTGGAAATACCGAGTTGTACCGAGTTTTTCTAAAAAACTCGGTACAACTCGGTATTTCCAGAAAAACTCGGTACAACTCGGCAATTCTAGCAAATATCGAGTTTTTCTATACTCGGTACAACTCGGTATTTATCGGTATTACTCGGTATTTGTCTTCACAGAGCGGTATTTCTCGTTATTGTCAAGCAATACCTAGCAATACCGAGTAATACCTCGCAATACGCGAAAATAGCATTCCCGGGTTCCGGTCCGGGTCAAGTCATCGGCCGCGCGGTAAAGAGTAAGAGCACGTGGCGACATGTTATTGGCAGCCGAACGTAGCTCTATGTCCGGTCAGAGGACGTAATAATTGTTCCAAATCTGCAACGCAAAGTCAGTTGGCCTTTAACGTCACTCTCCATTATGACAACGAAATTCTTCCATTTCAGGGAAGGGTAAAGAAAAATCGTATCGGTGGAGTCATCTTGCATCGGAGAAGGGCTGACAGACGTCGCCGGCGATGCTTTGGTCGCCATTGATGGTCTGTGGGAACGACCTTGCTCTGATACCATGTAGAAATGCAAGATTGAGTGAGAGAGCTCACGGAAGCGGGAAACAGTGAAGATGAATAGTGATTTTCATTATCTTGTAATGAAGGTACAGGATTCTATTTATAGTTCTTTGCCAACCGTATGTGTACACATGTCCACATTGTATTGGATATTACAAATGAGTAATTAAGCTAAGTGCGGGACTTAGTTCTCTAATAAGTATACGAACTCATAGTTGTAGTAGCCCATGAAAGCCGGCCTAATGAAAAGCCCATATGATAGAGTAAGGCGGGCCGGCCCGTGTTTCAATATATCGGGATGTAAATGAATCGTCGAGGGCATAGCAAACCAGTCTCGCCTTGGTCGAAGGAGCCAAGAGGGAAAGAAGGCGGGAAAGGCCAAGAAGAAATTGTTTTTAATGACGACTCGGATCGCTCCCGGCGTGGGTGCGAACCTCCTCGGCCAGCACTCTGCCGAGAGGAACCAAGAAGCCACAACCTATGTCGGCAACCTCGATCCCCAGGTTCTATACCTTTCTTCTCTATCATCGCTTTTTGTTACCACTCCATTGGATTTGACCTTTTGATTTGGGACGCTTTTATCTGCATCTTCATAGAGTTCTGCGAAGTGATCCTTTTCTAGGGTTTGGACAACCGCTAATATACTGTAGGGTCGGAACTTGTTTCGCGTGAGCTTGGCGGCGCTGCCTTAGGGAATTAGTTGTTTAGTATGTATTCAAATGCAACCTAGGGTTTGTTCATGCAATAAAAAATAAGGAGCTTTATGATTTTCCATACTGTGAACAGCTAAAATATGATCAGTATTAACTCAACTTACTGGAATTTACCATAAAATTAATTCAATCTGGCAAGAAAATCCTTGGGGTTTATGCAAAGACCTAATATAGCAAAGCAGTAAAAATGAGTAATATGGAAAGAAATAGGACGTTGCCTACCAAAAAATACTTTGAAAAAAATCAATATATGCAATGGGAGGACAGGGCTGTGCCACGATAGCAGTGGAAGGAAGGGAACATGCTAACAGAGTCTGTCTTCAAGTGTAAGAAGGAGAAGATATCAGTTTTCTAAATGGTTGATATTTATCCCGGCAGTTGATCCAAACATAATGTGTAGGATGGAGGCCTTGACGTCAGATTTTGGTATGAAAATAAGTTGTCTTAGTAGCCTTAAGGCGTCTCATTTTGCTAGCTTACACACCAAGTTGTGTTATATGGTTTATGGGTGAAATCCTTAAGCTTATGGAAGAAGGAGAAGGAATGTTCAAAATTGAGATAGCAATTGATCTCATTGTCTTAGCTACACCTTCCAAGTTTTATAGATGCTCCCTATCTTTGAAAAAACTTGATGGTTCTATGCAATGTTGTAATGGAGTTATGTATATGCTCTATTTATTGTCATTAGGTTTTCTTCTCCCAAGTACTTGCTTTATTTCTTGTCATTAAGTTTTGTCCTCATGCTGCAGATTACAGAGGAGCTATTGTGGGAATTATTTGTTCAAGCAGGGCCAGTTGGTAAGTCCCAATAGTCATTGTATTTTCTTATACTGTTCAAAATTAATGTTATAGCTAATTTGCAAATGCTAATGCTTTATATTTTTTAATTAATCATTCATACAATAAAATTTTAGTAGTAATAGATCCAGTGAGGGGATTATGACTTTGGGCAATCAAGTCATTAATAAGAGTACATGTTTTAGATATCTTGGGTCTATTGTTCATAGTGATGTTGAAATAGATGGGGATATTATTAGTAGAATTCAAGTTGGATGGTTGAAGTGGAGGAATGTATCGAGCTTTTTGTTTGATAGAAAAGTCTCTCTCAATCTTAAAGGGAAACTTCTATGAGATGTAGGGGGACCTTCAATGCTTTATGGCGCAGAATGTTGGCCATTAAAAAAAAGAGAAACATATATTAAGTTAAATGTTGCAGAGATGAGGATGCTTGGCTTTACTCTTAGAGACATTATACAAAAGAACATACACGTAAAAAGATTGGAGTAGCTCCAGTTGAATATAAGATTAGAGAGAGTCGCCTTAGATGGTTTGGTCACATAAAATGACGGCCTTCCGATGACCTTGTTAGGAGAGTAGATGTATTAGATTTGGTTTATGTTAAGAAATGGAGATTTAGACTAAAAATACTTGGTTAGAAAATATTAGAAATGACCTTTCTTTATTAGATTTAAATGAAAAATTAACTCTTAACAGGACACAATGGAGAAAAAGAATTCATGTAGTGGGATAAAGACTTGATATTGTTATTGTATTCATACAATAAAATTTTCTTATCTTTGTTAATTGCTCCGTCTATTTTAGTGTTTTAAAGGATTTCATTCGACATAAGTTCATATTTAAAGGACTTGGATCTTATTAGCTGGATTTTGTGGTAAGTATAGAATGCTTAGGCCATGTTGCCTTGTTTCTCTCCTTCTTTGAATCTTATGTTTGTTTGAGAGTTTTTTTTCCTCCATCAGAATTTACAAAAAATATATCAATTTGTTCCTGAAATTCTTTGTCAGAAGAAAAAAATCCACTACCACCTGCAAAACTAGAATTGTCTTGTTGATAACTACAGTATTCTATATCATTTCCTTCGTATTTCTTTGTGCCATCTCTTTTGAGGTGGTATAGTTTTTGAAACATTAGCATCAATAAAGTTAGCACAAAATGAAGAAGTATCATTGGAGGAGATAACCTGAGCATCTCTAGTGGAGTATATTCCTCCATAACAAAAATGACAAAATCCTCTTAGGAACCATCAGGGCTATTGCTAATAGTGCTTCCAATATATATATATATATATATATATCGGGTCTTTATGCCAGCTTGTAATAGAAGGCCACATGAATCCCCCTCATTGAAGTGCAAAGCACATAATTTGAAATTTGAATTAGTGGATGAAAAAAAAAATTACAATTACAAAATATATCAAAATAGCAGCTAATATTTCATGTTCTAATCTACCGCCCATTTGGTCTTCCGCCTAAAATATACCAAGCATGCCAAAATTTAGAACATAATAATGTTCACAACAAATGAGAAATGTCAAATCAATGCAATCAAGTTGGCCATGTTTTTAGCTTTCATTTTAATAAATAACGTAATTCCTTCAAACAAGATTTTCATGTTTAATACTTGCCTTTTGATTATTTAGACAAGGGTCCATTTATAAGCCTTTAATGAATCATGAATTTTAATAGTGTTTACCACCATCTCCCATCTCCTCTAATAACAAATTAAGCGAAGTATTCTTGCACAATACTGGAAATCATTTACAAGAGCCAAAATATGAAAATAGAATCTTACAACATCCTTAAGGGAGAATTCTTTCTTGTGATCATCAGGAGTTATTAACTATAGGGTTAAATCATTAAGAAATGTGTTATCTACATCCAATCTTCCTACCAAGTTGCTAAATAGTCTTCCTCAGCCAAAGAACTTGTAGGTGCTTAGTTTTCGCAACACACAAATAATTATTGAACTGGCTATTTATATTGCTTACAGTTCTAAAGCTAACCTACCAAACAGACATGCTAATGACATGGAAATTCAATGATCTATTTCATTTCTTGCCTCATTTTTTCATTTCTTGGAAAGAGTAAAAGACCTGTAGCCGTTGAAATTTTCACCTGTTATGTGCTCATCTCTTGTCAATATCATTATAAATTGTGTAAGTAAAAGGTGTTAACTAAGATACTTTGTGAGAAAGGTTCAATTGATGATTTGCACTGCAATGCTGGATGTGGAAGACATTTATCAAATTTTTTGCTTTGTATATGTAATTTGGTAAATATTCTGCTTAATTAATTATTTTTTTGGTGTTACACCACCTCCTTCTTTCTTGAATTTGTTAAATAGACACCCTATTTTCTTCACTTCTGTAGGAAAAAGAATCCATTAGTTAAGATCAGCAACAGTTATGAGTATTTATTTCATTTGTTCGTGCTTCTCTTCCTCGAATGGAAAGATACCCATACTCAAGTTAAGAAAAAAAATATCTAAGGGAGTATCACGCTTGAAACCAAAAAAATGTTGGATAGTTTGAAACAAAGGGAAACTGATGAATTTCTCCAAAATCAACCTGTCCTGACATCAATAATGTATTTAATATTAGTAAATAGTTATCATCTTTGTTAATAATAAAGTTATCTGCAGTTGATACCTGAAGAAGCTTATTATCAACACCCTATGTTCTCCATCTTCTCTCCCAATTCTCATTAAAAATGCTGCGCTTGCAACTTGCAACCAACTAAGAGTTTGAGGATTGTCATGAAAGTGAGTAAATGATGGAAGAAGGATAAGGTATTCTATCTTGACCATTGGTTATAAAGTTTTAGTTGCTCATTCTTCATTTCCTTGGTTTTTGGAGTAGTTGTTTGCTCCAATTGGTCCTATATTAAATTATATCTATCTATTTGAGAAAGCCATGAGTTTGAATTCCTAGTAGCACATGTTTAGACCCAAAGGAGAGGCATTGACAAGGATTGCCAAGTGGATATGATAACAACATAATGACTCTCTTGAACCGTGCTGGATGATTAAGTTATGGACCACCATTTGTCCACGGTATTATGATGAAGCCTTGTGCATTGTGGATTTATAACACTCATGCGTCTGGAGAAAGCTATACTTTTAGCTTTAAGGTTTTTGTTAGGGCTTCTTTATCAATTTAGGCATTAGAATAGTTGATTATGCTAAGTGGTTCTATTTCACAAGTCTCGAGATTTAGTGTTTTTTGCCTTTATTTTTTTAAAGTGTCCATTTATGATGCATTAAAATGTGGTCATTTTAGTTTTTATTTTTATTTTTATTTTTAAATGTTGGTACCTTCTTTGATAGATTAATGGGTGTGACTTCTAAAGATTCTTTTTTTTTTATTTGGTCTTTGAAAAGGGCCATACGTTTTGGGCTTTACATTTTTTTCCCTTGTATCTTAGAGAAAAGCTTTCAGCTTTCATTAATGGTTGCTTCTATATTCATGATGGCTTTGGAATGATATAATGAGAATAACCATTCTCATGTGTACTCTGTAGAAAACTAGGATATTTCTCTTATCATAATAAATTTTCCATTCATCGATCACGGAAAATACCATATGCTTGTCATTTTGATTCACTTTTTGTTAATTTCTCATAATTTTTAGGTTGTATGATGTAGATTTGCTTGTTTTTACTCATTAAAAGCAACTAAATAACTTGAGTAGGTTAGTTTTTCATTTGGAAGTTGTTATTTTGTTGTTATTGTTTAGTTATTTTAAAGAAGCCTATGTTGAATGCTTATGAGGATGGGATGCGATCTCTATTAGTATGGTTTCCAAGTGCTTGGTTAGTTTTGTGGTTTTGCCTGGGATTGAGCTAATATGGCAATGGTTGATTTCAAGAATTCAGAAGGCATGGTTCAACTTTTTTGTTGTTTGAATTTGATTCCTTTGAAATCAGGGTAAAGGAATTGCTATTTACCCATTAATTAGTCACTTGTTGTTTCTATAGGCTTATTAATATTGCAGTACCATCATTTTTCTAAATATATTGTTTGTCTTGTTAGAGTTCTTTATTTTATTTCCTAATTTGATAAAACTGGAATTTTGATTGTGTTGAAAAAAAATTTAATTACTTTCTAACTTTTCAAGGTCCAAAATTTTTATTAGTTTCTTCTGATTTAATTGATTTTTTCATTATCATTAGGTTCAAGTTCTTGAATTTTTTTTGTTTGTATCAATAATTTTTTTAATTAGAAAACGAGCATCATCATTCTTCATCATGAAGGTACATATAGTTGATTATTTAAGAAGCTTATTGTTAATACCCTATGCTCCATCTTATCTCCTAATTCTCATTAATGATATTGTACTTGCAAAGTGACATGTATTGCTCCTTCATCAACCTAGGTTTTCAATGTAGTTGGTCGCTTCAAGTGGTCCTACATTAAATTGTATCAATCTATCAAGAAGGCTAAGTTTGAATTCTCGATGGCGCAAGTCAATGCCCAAAGGAGAGCCATTGATGAGGACTATTGAGAAGGCATGATAACAAGATAATGCCTCGTTTGGTCTGTGGTGGAAGATTAAGTTATGGACCACCATTTGTTGACAATAAATGATGAGGCCACGTGCATTGTAGATTCATAGCACTCGTGTTTGGCGAAAGCTATACTTTTGGGTTTAAAGTTTTGGTCGTTTCTTCTCTATTAGCTTATTTTTTAGTTCGGGCGCTAGAATAGTTGTTTATGCTAAGTAGTTTTATATCACACATCTTAGGGGTTTAATTTTTTCCACCTTATTTCTTTGAAAGTGGCTATTTATGATGAGCTAAAAGTGGTCATTTTAGGGTTTTACTTATTTTTTTTTTAATTTTTAACTGTAAGTACTTTTATAGATTAATGGTTGTGACTTCTGAAGATTATTTTTTTTCTCTAATTGCCTAATTGGTCTTCGAAAAAGATTACATGTTTTGGATTCTACTTTTTTTTATCCTTACATCTTTGAGAAAAAAATTTAGCTTTCATTTATGGAAGCTTCTTGGAATGATATAATTTGAAGAACAACCATTATCATGTTAACTCTGCAGAAAACTTGACTTTTCACATCAAAGTAATTTTCCGTTCATTGATTATGTAAAATACCATCTGCTTGTCATGTTGATTCACTTTGTTTTAATTTTTTAGGTTGTGTGATGTAGATTTGCATGTTTAAAATGTTGGAAGCAGCTAAAAAACTTGAGTAGGTTAGTTTATTATTTATAAGTTTTTATTGTTTTAGTTATTTAAACATACCTTTGTTTAATGTCTTGATGAGGGGATGCAATCTCTATTAGTTTGATTTCTAGTGCTTGGTTAGTTTTTCATGGGATTGGGCTAATACGGTAATTGTTAATTTCGAGAGTTTAAAAGTCATGGTTGATGGTCCAACTCTTTTGTTGTTTGAATTCGATTCCTGCAGAGTGGGGGTAAAGGAATTGCCATGTACCCATTAATTAATCTATGTTACTTGTAATTACTATAGCTTATTACTATCGCAGCACTTTAATTTTTCTGAATTTATTGTTTATGTCTGGCTTGTTTATTTTGTTCAAATTTGATACTACTGAAATTTTATTGTGTTGAAAAATTTTTCATTGCTTGCTAACTTTTCATTGTTTGAATTTCTTGTTGCTTTCATCATATTTAATCCATCTTTTCATTATCATTTAGGTTCTAATTCTTAATTTTTTTTTTGGTTTGGAGTAAAAGAAAGTAAGCTTTTATATATTTGGTGATTTTCATTCTATGAATTTAATTTTCTTTGTGTGTGCCAAGTTTGAAACCGTCTTGCATCAAATTGGTATCAAATATTGACATAATAATTGGGTCAATAAATAAAATAAATAAATGATGCAATTTAAATAGATAGTTCAAAGTTAGATTCATGTACAATATGAATCTATATTCATTGTTGAAATTGGATCTTCACCTATACTAAACATATTCATGAACTCTTTCCTTTATCTAACTAAATCTAAATTTATTATTATTGGGTTGCTAAGGTTATTGATTTTGTTCAAATTTAGTTCAATTAGAATTATTATTGCGTTAAAATAAATTAATTGCGTCTTGATGTTTCCTTATTTTAATTTTTTGTTGCTTTCTTTAGATTTAATTGATCATTGCATTGTCATATACATTCCTATTCTTATAATTTTTAGTTTTTAGCTAAACAAAGCAAGTTTTTGTGTATTTAATGATCATTGATCTACGAATCTTTGCATTATTATAGCTGCATAAGGAGACCTAACCTTAAATCTGTATCATTTGTTTTCTGTTTACACTTTCTTTTCACAAGACACATTAAGGCTTCGTTTGGGACGACTTTTTTTCTACTTCTTAAAATAGTTTTATAGTATAAAAATTTTATTTTTTGTACTAGAAAGCTGCTTTAAGAAGCAATAATAAAGCCGTCCCAAATGAAACCTAAATCTAAGACTTTCTTGCTTATTATGACTTTTTTTCTAGTTAATGTTTATGTCCCAAAAGATAGAGTGACAAATCTTCACCAAGGATATGGATTTATAGAGTTCCGAAGTGAAGAAGATGCTGACTATGTGAGTATTAAATGCCTTATTTCACTTCTCAATATCATTTAAAATAATTCAATGCCAGTTTTTACTTGAAAATTTTCCAAATGATGACACCTTGTTTTTTTCACTGTCAGGCAATCAAGATCTTGAATATGATTAAACTTTATGGGAAGCCTATTCGTGTGAACAAGGTAACGTGCATCTTTTCTTTAGGTCTCTTCGCTCATAGCTTTGCATTTTTACTCAGACAATTCCAAATTTTGGAAACTGAAACAGCTTCCTTTCATAGAAGCATAGTGTTACATCCCTTCATTTCTCATAGTTGATCCTGTTTTGACTTGGCGCATGATAATTATAAGAATGGTGTTTTCTATTGCATTATGCATTGTAAAGAAATATCATGGCTAGATCATTCATCTCACTGCTATGAAGAATTCGTTGTCATAAGCAAGGGCTCTCTTCTTATAGAAGAGAAACGTTAACATGTTTGCCAGGAAATTGAAGACCATGATACCATTTCTAGTTTGATTTTGATATTTTATTTTCCAACATTCCATTAAATTTTATTTCCATTGGCCTTTTTATAATGATTTACAGTTGACTTTTAGGGCTTTAAATAAGTCTGTAACGATTAACTAGTTTTTTTTAAGCTCAGTTTGGACGGTCCATGCTATCCATTCATAGTTGACTTGGAAAGTATTCCTAGGGTTAAAAATTTCAAACTTGACATTTTCAAAACAACCTAGCTGAGATGACTAGATGAGGGCACGGATGAGGAGGGAAATGGAGTTATTATGGAGATTGTGATTTCAGACTTTTCAGTTGATTGTAACTTCCAGCAACTTCTGGCAACATCCAATTGTAGATCTTATTGGAGGGAAAAGGTGGGAGGAGCTGGTGACAGAGAGGGAGCAAGTTTGCTTCATAAGAACCATAAAACCACATGCTGTGTGAAGATGTTCAAAATGTTCTATAATGAGGTCTGGAGACTCTGGAGAGCTCTTCTGAAAAAAGGGCTAACCAATCTTCGATAACGGGAGAGTGACATGAGAGAGAGAATGGGATAAGAGGGACCATAAACACAATCAAACTCTCTTGGTAATTAATCCAAAAGTTCATTTAATTTCATTCCTGTAGTTACTACTCGCTTTCTTTACAAAGTACAGTTTTTTTGTACAATTTCTACAAATTGCATTATATAATTCTATATTGTTCATGTTTATTTTTAGTTTATGCCCCGTTATTATATAATCTGTACAATAAAGATTTGACATATCTGCCAAACTAAATCCGATTAGTTTCAGCCAGTATCATCATGGAACTGGTCATAAGTGTCTGTTTTGACAAAATCCTGTTTTTCCATCCATAAATTCCTGCTTTCTGACTCTATTTCAGGCTTTTTCATTCCCTTTCACATTTTTTAGATTTTTCACGCAGAAATTTTTTTTTCCCCAATCACTCCTGTTTCAATCTCTGGATGTTGGCTTCTTCAGTAAAAATGAAGGCGTCCCTACGTTTTCCACACTCAATTCATGTTTCACTAAGCTTGCATAATTCCAACTAACCAGGACCATGCCAATGGATTTTTTATTTGTAGGATATAAATTGGTATTCATAGGATATATATTTTATTTAAAAACTACATACGAGTTATGTTTTCCGGAGTAATCATCGAGAAAAGATGCAAATGATGGCAATAAAATTGAAGTATTGTGATGTAAAATGTCTTAGAGATTAGGATTTTTTAATACAACTTATGATGAGATGTACATTAAAAATATTAAAAATGATTATCTACTAGTTACCTACTCTTAATTTTAGCAAAGATTAGTCATATTTAATGTAAAAATCACACACTAATTACATTCCAAATAATCATTTAAATTTGAGATTTAACAAGAAAAATTGGGACCAAATATCCTACAACTATCACAATAAGTATCAAGATTATTGCAAAAGATGTGCTAGGAGTATTATAGAAAATACTTGAATATTTCAAGTAAACCCTAACAAGAATAGGGAAAAATAGCAAGAGAAACACACAAAAATCTGGTGGAGAACTCTCCAAATTGAAATTGGATTGCAAAAGAGAAACTAACAGAAACAACGAAACAAAGATACAATTGATCCTCAATTCGAGAGGATGATCGTCTCTCTCAATCTCTAGATGAATCTAGAGCCCAAGACACCAAGAAGAATCCTCACAAGAACACAATAATCAAAACATAACCATAATCCTAATTCCCTCATCCTACTTAAAGCATACAATTAATTAATCAAACCAAAAGACTAAGGAGCCCTTGCTGCCCCCTCCTTTCCCTCCAAAGAGTTTGAATTTGAAGTATTGGTAGACCCCACTCCTCTCCCTCTCTCTTTGCCGTCGCCCCTCCTTGAGTAAAACTGAACCAGTCCCTTAGGGACCTATTGTAATTGGACCGCTCCACTAGAGACCAGTCTAACATAGTATAAAAGGAAAAAGCTCATAATAGTAAAAATAGTTGGTGGTAGAATCCAAATGTGCTAGAAAAGATAAAAAATGAGATATGTTTTAAAAATTAATTTAGATGTAAAAATTCTGATAATTGGAATAAATATAAAGAGACACTTTAAGGAATCTAAGAAAATAATATGCGATGCAAAGATCTTAGCTTTTAATGATTTATATAATAGATTAAAGTCTAAGGAGGGAGAAATATTTTTGTATAAGTTAGCCAAACAAAGAGATAGGAGTAGTAAGGATTTAGTTCAAGTGAACTGTATTAAGGATGAAGATCAAAAAGTACTTTGCTTAGAAGATGATATTCAACAAAGGTGGATGAGATATTTTGCTAAACTTTTTAATGAAGAATGTGAAAATACGAATAATTTTAGTGTCCTTAGCACTCTAAATGAAAATAAAGATTTTTATATTTATCGGCGTATTAGTAAAACTGAAGTTAGAGAGATTTTAAAGAAAATGAAGGGTGGAAAGGCTATTGGACCTGATGATATTCCAATAGATGTGTTGTAATGCTTAGGAGATGAAGGAATTTCATGGCTTACTAAACTTTTTAATCTATTTTGAAGACTAAAAATATGGCCAGATCAGGAGAAATGAGTGTGCAAATTTCTATTTTTAAGATAAAGGTGATGCAAAGATTTGCAAAATTTCATAGAGGAATTATTAAGTGTGTCATACTTTAAAACTATGGGAGCGAGTTATGGAGCCTTAGGCTGCTACTGATACTAATGTTTCTCCAAATACAATTTGGATCCATGCAGTATTTGTGGAAGCCTACATTTATTGTGTGTATTGATGGAGAAATATAGAGAGAATAAGGAGGATCTACATATGATATTTAATTGATTTAGAGAAATGCATATGAATAAAGTTCCAAGAGAAGTGCTTCGAGAGTTCTTGAAAAGAAATGAGTTAATAACACTTATATTCAAATCATTAAAAGATATGTATGCATGAGCTATTACTGATGTTCAAATACAAGTGGTTTGATCAAGTATTTTTCTATTTCGGTTGTATACACATCAAGGATCAGCCGTATAAGCCTATATCTTTTTGCTTTAATCATCGGATGTTTTTCACTAGACATTTGTAAGAGGATGTACCTTGGTGTATGTTTTTGCAGATGAATATTTCTCTTGCTGATAAGACTAGTAGAGGGACTTGAAGGTAAACTTAAATATGGAGGTCAACCTTAGAGTCTAAAGGTTTTTGCTTGAGTAGATCTAAAACTGAATAATATGGGTGTATTTTAGTAGTAATAGACCTAGTGAGGGGATTCTGTACTTTGGGCGATCAAGTCATTAATAAAGTACACGTTTTAGATATCTTGGATCTATTGTTTCAGATGATAGTGAAATAGATTGGATATTACAATAAGAATTCAATTGGATGGTTAAGTAGGAGGAATGCATTGAGCTTATTAGTGTATAGAAAAGTCCCACTCAAACTTAAAGAAAATTATATAAGATGGTGGTGAGACCTGCAATGCTTTATGTGTTGATATTGGACATTAAAAGAGAAGCATATAAACTAAGTTAAGTGTTTGCATGAGATGAGGATGCTCAAGTGGATGAGTGGTTTTACCCTATAGATAGGGATACGAATGAGCATATACATGAAAAGGTTGGAGTAGCTCCAGTGGAAGATAAGATTAGAGTAGAGTCCTGTAGATGTTTGCTCGCTTAAAACCTGCTTTCTAGATGACCAAGTTAGGAAATAAGAGTTTAGATTGAACTTATTGTTAAGAAGTAGAGGTAGAGCCTAAAAAGAACTGTTAGATAATATTAGAAATGATCTTTCTTTATTTAACTATCAATTTGACTTTTAACAGACACCATGGAGAAAAGATTCATTATAGCCGACCCCACGTAGTGGGACAAAACTTGAGTCTGTTGTTGTATGATTGTATCACAAAAAGATAATGCATTTATATCAAATTTAACAAAATCTTCAATCAGGGGTACTGACTGTCACTAAACCTATTAAATGAGTAAAGGATTATAAATACTAACTTGAGAACTGCACGATGTGTCGGTGTATCTAGAGTTAGACTTGTTTCCTCTGTATTATCCGTATTCTGAAAGCACGCCGAAGAATTAACGTAAGCAACACTACACAAATTGATAAAATAAAAAAATTTAATTAACTATTCTTATTCTCTAAATTTTACTTCCATATATTTATTTCATACATATTTTAATGTAACACATGTTCTCTCAAAAAATTTTAATTAAACTTAATGATATGAATTTCATGATAAACTTGTATATTCATCCTTTTCTGCATAATTATGTTTGTAATATTAATAAAATCCCCTAATAATATATGGAATTACAATAGTAATTTATTACATGTTAAGAATAAAAATCGAAAAGCCATATTTTGAGTATGCAAGTATTCCCAGTTTTCAATGGAAATCATTGTAGATAAATATATAAATGTATCATTTGAAAAATTTTGGAAATATAATAATTATATAATTATTATTAGATATATATATATATATTTGAAATGTAATGTAATATTAAATAATGAAACATTTTTTTTGAAATTTTTAGCTTCTAATTTATGAAAATCTTTATGAAAATCCATAAAATGCAACTATAAGTATGGAGATTATTACTATCAAGCTCCTTCCACTATGTAGGAGCTATATGGTGGCATCAATATATATTTTAGCACTTTTAGAACTCATGATCAGTGATATGATTCATAACTACAAAGCTGCTTCTTATATATATATATTAATTTTAAAAAATTTCAGAAAAGTAATTTTGGAATAAGAAATTTACGAGGAAATAAATAACCGGACTTTTTTTATTTTGGTTTTGAAGATTAGGAGCTATATGTATTTTTGTTGGTTATAACTACTGATAAGTGATAATACATAAAAATACAACTATAACAATCCTACAGCTTCCACAATATAGGAGCTTTATGATGGCATCAATTTGTATTTTAGCATTTTTAGAATTCATGATCCGTATAGCATAAGCCTATAAGGTTTATGACCACAAAGTTGCTTCTTATCTTAATTTTTTTTAAAATTTTAAATATATCAAAAAAGTATATTTATTATATGAAATTTGAATAATAAAAAGTTACCAATATCAAAATTTAAACAAGGCACTGCTAAAATTGCAGAAACTGAAACATTGGCAGCAAGCCAAAATCAAAACTTAGATTGAATTTACAGACAATGGTGGAATCATATATACACTTCAAAATTGTGAAATCCTTTACATGAAAATATAGTTTATTGGCTTTATTATTATGACATCCTTATGAATAGTATTTTGGAATCATCTTTTGCTAGATATGTTGTGGGATGGTACTTTTCTGTAGCTGTTAGTTGTACCTGTGTCCTGATGGTAGATAAATTTCTGTACAATTCCTTCATGAATGTTCATTTCGATTTTCTTACCAGGCCTCCCAAGACAAAAAGAGTTTGGATGTTGGGGCAAATCTTTTTGTTGGAAATCTTGATCCGGTAAGACAGTTGTCCATGGCAATGAACACTGTTTGAAACTAATGGCTTCGTTTTTTACCTTTGGGAGTTCTGTTGCAGGATGTTGATGAGAAACTTCTCTATGATACTTTCAGTGCATTTGGAGTAGTGGTCACTAATCCCAAGGTGATGTGCTATCCTTATTTATTTGCACTTTTTATTACTGGAAATTTAGTGAACAACTCTAGATTGAGAAGGAAGGACAAGTGCGTTTCTTTAGCTTGGTGTTCTTTGTTTTATATAGCTTATGTTATTTTGGAGAGTTGTTATCTAAAGATTCAGCTTATCATGGCTTGGAAATGTAAAAATCATACTACCAGTGGATTTGTTGGCACTTATTGATAATATTATGATTTTAATGCCTAAGGTTTCATTTGGGACAGTTTTTTTACTATTTTTAAAGCAGTTTTTTAGTACCAAAATTTTTTAAACTGAAAAATTTTATACTAAAAAACTACTTTAGAAAGCTGTCCTAAATGAAGCATAAATTTTATTTAACTGTCCGCCATTCGTCCCTGCACAAACATACACGTGAAAGTGTTCAGTTCCAATCTTTCACGTTTCCCACATTCTGATACTCGTTCCCTTCAGCAGGATAGAATTAAGAGTTAAAAGTGGAAAATACTATTATATATATATATGTGTGTGTATGTGTGTGTATTTATTTATTTATAAATGCTACTATAGTTTGCTAATTGCACCAAAATATCTAGCCTTTTGAAGTTGCATCACTTAAAAGGTGATAAATTCTGCTAGTTAGTTGTATCTATCCAAGTGCCTTATAAACTTTTTTATAAAATGATTGGGATTTTATTTTGTTTATTCTAGTCGTACAAAAAGATTAATGCATATTTAGCTGACGGGTAGGAAAGGATGAGGAATGCCTGAGACATTGGAACATGATTTTTATAGATTCTAAGAAGGCGATAAATAACTAATCATATTGAATTTCAGTATAGGCGGCTGAATTGTCATTGGTATTAACACATTATATGCAAAAAAAAGGATTACCTAGTGCATTAAGTTCCAACTAATGTGGGGTTTAAGTGGGCTGTAGCCTTAGCCTGCATTTATAGAGTGTCTATTTCCATAGCTCTAATTCATGACCTTCCCTATTACAATGGGTGCAAATCAGCGTTGCTTTAGACGCGGCTCTTTATTTTTCTTTGAAAAGGGTGTGGTCCTAAAGATGTTTATGCTTCCTCCATTGTATGGAGGTTGGGAGTTTGAGCCGTAGAAATATCATCTCTACAAATGCAGGGTAAGATTGTGTACGTCAACCGATCTCCATACCCCATTTAGTAGCAGCTTTATGCACTTAGTTGCACTCTTCTTATGTGCAATGTGTTGAAAGGGTAAATTTTCTTTCTTATTGACTTAGATCAGATGTCTGTATATAGGCATATAAATCAAGTATAAAGGAAGAAAATGAAGAGGTAAACATCCTCAATTAAGTGGAAAATTATCTTCCTAATTTAGTACTTTCCAAAGATAGCACTTTCCAATCTAGTAATTACACAGATTTGCTTCTTACTTTTCAGAGAGATGAGATTTTCAACCACAAAGACAAATATCGTGAAGTAAATTTTTAATCCTCAATAAATTGAATATAGTCTACATCAAATAATGATTCAATCGTTAAATCTTTTTGTTTTGATGGACTTGATTTTTCCTTTGAAATTACTTGATATATCTTAAAATTCTTAGGTCAATCTCCTAGTGTGTATTCTATGTTTTGTATATGATGATTGATAACACCAACAACAAATGATTGTTAGGTTGATAGACAGTCAGATAATTAGTTTGCCAACAAGGTGTCAATAACAAGAAGGTTCTTCATAGTTTTCATCATCTTTAGATGATTGTAGAGTTTCCATAGGAGAGTTAGTAGATTTACATTCAAGAAAGTTATATTCTTTAAAAATATTTGTAGTGCATTTTCTTTGATGGAAAAAATTATCTTCCTTGTTATATTGAAATTCAATGTCAAGAAAATATTCTGGATGCTTCGATTTTTTAATGCAAATTTATTTAGATATAATTTATTTTCAGTGATGCCTGACATTTTACTTCTAATAGCATGAATGCAATCAACATATACGTCTAGAACACTATGCTAAAGGAGAAGTGTCAGATTGAAAGTAGAGTGATAAGTTGTCCTACTTTGTAGTTCAATGTCAACAAGAATGTCAAATCAGGCATGATGACTTGGTTTCAATCTATATAGCTTTCTGAAGCATACATATTTTGTTTTCCCCTTGAGCAACCTACCCAGGAGTTTCCTCTTTATAAACTAATTCAACAAGATCTTCAAAGAGACAAAAAAAAACATTATTGACATTCATTTGTACAATAAGCCATTTTCTATTAATAACAATATAGAGAAGAAGAATCAAATTATGTTGAGCAACTAGTAAAAATTCCTAGTCAATGTCATGGATTTGAGTATATCTTTTTCAATCAATCAAGCATTTAAACGATCAATCAAAGCATCAAGATGGAACTTAACAATGAAGGCCCATCAAGAAGAAATAAATTTAACCCCAGCAAGAGGTATAAGAGAATTAAATCAAAATAGGCGCTACAACATGAAGATGAGGATAAGAGAATTAGCACATTATGATGTGCCCAAACTCACATGCATCTCACACAAATTTTGAAATGGAGGATGAGACATTAGTTAAGCCTCATAGATGGTGAGAACTGAGAAGGATGACTTATACAATGATATCATTGATAATGGGAAATTTTAGACAAGGGAGTGCGATCAACAACATTGTGTAGGGGTGTTAATCTGATTGACTAGTTAGGTTTGGATCCAACCCGAAGTTTACCCATCACGATATGCTTAGCTTGAGCCCGACTTACTAATCATATAGTTCAAAATGTTTAGCACAAACCTGACATGTTTATTATATGTATGATGAATTTTTTCTATATCACCATGACTCGTTTAAGTCGAACTTGACCTATTTAATCTAAACTTGAATGATAATTAGGTCAATTTCAAAAACTTGCGGCTAATGCTGGTTGGTCATTAAGTAAGAAGAGGAAGATAGTTCTGTGTGGATTCAAATGCGAAGATTGGACAAGAAACTTGACGAACATACTAGAGAAAAAATACAATTGTTGAAGTCAATCATCAAAATGGTATGAAGTTAAATGATTCAAATGCAACACCTAATCAAAGGGTAGCAATCCAAATCGGCCCTTCATAGATATCCATCCACCCAATAGGTGACCTAGTGAGCCAGGTTCATCTTGTTCTGCATCGGTTCAGTTCAGTTGGATTAGTTTTTCATTCCATCAACAAATAAATATTTTAATAAATAAGTTTTTATTATTTCTCCATTTGTTTTTTTAGCTCACCTAGTTCAAATCGGAACTGAAATCGGTTCAGCCTCCTACTTTTATAAATAAACCTACAACATGCTGTTATGCTCTGTTTTTATAAACCTCCTACTTTTATAAATCGGTTCAAAATTCCTGCTCTGTTTCTTTTCCTTCTTTCTCTTCCCAGGGAGTTTGCACCTACTCTAAATGTGTCTTTCCCTTCTTGAGACATCAAGAATCACAACAATTAATGCTCTCGTTTGTTCGTCCGTCCCGTTCGATTCGCTTGATTTGTCTGTATCATTCGCTTCGATTCAGTCGTCCATCCTTGCCTTTGTTTTGCTCGATCGATTCATTCGTTCTTTTGATTTCTTCGCTTGATTCGGTTGTCCGATCATACACACAATTCGTCCGTTCTTCCTAGTGAAGAATTTTAATCTCGCCAATGCCCTATGCATAATGCAGGCCCAACAAAATTTGCAGTTTGCTAAAATTTAGATTTTCACTTCTATTAGCCTTTGCACAATTCGCTTCTATCAGCCTTACTCTACAACAATTTTAGGTTTTCATGGATTCAATGGACAAAAGGCTAGATAGCCTATGCATCAACCATTCCATCCCCATTGGCCATATTCACCATCCACTGGTGGCATCTTGGGATCGGCAACTTGGAATTTGCTGCCCATGTCTCTGTTAGACCGGTCGGGTCCAGCCGGTCCTGTCGGACCGGCTTACGCAAAACTGTCAAAGATTTCCGCCTCCTGTACGCAGGAGCCGACCGCCCAGTCACCTGTGGGCTGTTTAAAAAGATTTTTGAAGAGAGTTTGGAGGAAAATTTCAAAGTAGGGTTGTTTAGAGAATTCTTTTGAATTGTATGCATTAAATAGTTTGTTTTCCTAGGGTTAGGACATCTTGAATTTTTCTGAAATTTGAGATATCTTATATTTAGGTTTTCCTTTGGGCTCTAGCGGTGTCTAGAGATTGGGAGAGATCGATCCTCCTCTTGAATAGAGGATCAATTGTATCTTGGTATTTTTCGCGTCCTTTTCATCAAATAATACAAATTATCTATTGTTTTCTTGGTTTTGTGTGGATTCTTGTGAATGATTTTCGCTGTTTTTCTAAAGATTGATAGGAATTACTTGCGTTCTCAAGTACTTCCTATCAGTCTCCTTCCAACATGGCAAGTTTACCCTTTCTTAAAATTATGAAATCGATCTTCCACACTTTAACGGCACGGCAGTTGACACTTGGATCTTTAAAGCACATGATTTTTTTGATTTTCATAACACCTTGTATTGTCATCGTGTTCGTATTGCTTCTTTTCACCTTGAAGGTTCCCTAGCCATTTAGCATCAATGGCTAAGAATAAAAGGCCGGAACCTTTTATGGATTGAACTTACATTTTCTTTGCAACAGAGATTTGGCATTTCATCTTATGAAGACCTTCATGACAACCTTTCTAAAATCTAAATTAACCCAACATGCTTCTGTTCTTGATTACCAGATGACTTTTGAAAATTTAGCTTTTAAATTTCTAACCTGAATCAACCATGATTAGCTATTTTATTTCCGATCTTAAACAAGAATGTTGTAGGGACTTCTATTTGCTAAACCTGTTACTCTTTCAGATGTGATGGAATTGGCCCGTCATCATGAATCTAAATTTCAAGATTTGTTTTTCTTCACTTCCTCACAATGGTGGAAACCTCCTACTTTTTCGACCAGCAAAAATATGACACCTACCACTCATACCTCTTTCACCACCACACCTTCAACCCTTCTACCCCCTC